TCAGCAGCCTCCCAAAGGTGCGGGATTACAGGCTGAGCCACGGAGCCCGGCATGAGACCTTGATTCTTATGATAAACTTTTAAAAATTAGCCTCACTCATAAACAGACCTTGAAAATTTACCATTGTACTATAAAAAAGGGACTGGTAGTAGCTGGAACTGCCAGGGGAGGGGGAGGGTACATAACATCAATAGGGGTACCTGATCTCATACCAGGCAAATTGGGGAACAAAGGGAGGCCCAGACTTTACCTGAATTGTATCCCACATCTTTAAAATAAAAAAATAGCCAGATATGGTGGTGCACACCTAGAGTTCCAGCTACTTGGAAGGCTGAGGCAGGATACCTGTGCTCAACAGGTAGAGGCTGCAGTGGCTGTGATTGTGCCACTGCACTCCAGCCAGTGACACAGCTGATCCACAGTCCCAAGCCCAGGACTGCAGTCTTTATTCTCCTATCACAGATGACAGAATCCAGGTCAGGAGACCAAAATGGGCTCCTCCTTTGGTGACAAGCCCCGCCAAACATGTGGGGCAGAGATCAGCGTTGTTTCAGACTCCAGAGGAACAGAGGAGCCCTTGGGTGAAGAGTGCTGAGTCCCTGAGGGACATCCATCCTTCAGCCGCCTCCCTGCACAGAAGAGCCATTACTGCTCCAGTCAACGAAAGGGAAACTTTATTGAGGCCCCAGAGCCATGGGCCAGGGCAGGAGGCTGCCTTGCGGGAAGAGCTGGTGAGGGCCTTATTTGACCTTCTTCTTGGGGCGCAGGTTGTTGGTGTGCCCACACTTCTTCTTACGGCAGTTGACGGCACGGGGGTGCAGACGTGCGTAGCACCTAACGGGACAGGAACATGGATGAGGGCTCCCTGCCCCTGCCTGCCCTGCCCCCAGCCCCCAGCACACATACTTGCGGCAGATCATCTTATCACAGTTGTACTTCTGGGCAAGCTGGCGGAGGGAAGGCTCAATGATGCCACCTCGCAGGCGCAGCACCAGGTGCAGGGTGGACTCTGCAGAGAGCCAGAGAGGGACGGCGACTGAGCCCAGCCCTGGCACCTGGTCGCAGGGCAGGTTCCCCAGTGCCCTAGACTGGTGTTTCCCAGGTGTAATGGGGACATCAAGTCAGGATGGCGAACATTCTACATGTAACACTATGCCAATGCATGGAGCCTCCATCTCAGCATGGGAAGCTGGAGGCTAACACCTGCCAAGTGTGGGGGTTTCCAAATGCACAAGGCAATTTCTAAGTGGCACAAGGAAGTAAGACTTAAAGTCTTGCTACTCCAATAAGTGACACTGATTTCCTTACAGCAGAGATGGAAACTCCCACGATCACGGGACCAATGCTGTTTAGAAACGCCAATTATCAGATGTTTCCCAGTGATGAACATACCATCTCATAAAGCAGGACTCCCCTGCCCTGTCTGAGCTTCCCCTAAAAGTGCCCTCCCACCTTCACCAAGGCCACCAAGCCCCATCCTGGGAGCTCATGGATGCTGCCTAGCGACCCCACCCCAGTACCTTTCTGGATGTTGTAGTCTGAAAGAGTGCGGCCATCCTCCAGCTGTTTGCCCGCAAATATCAGACGCTGCTGGTCAGGTGGGATGCCTAGGGAGAGGGAGAGCTCAGTGACCGGGGCTCTGTCACAGTACTGATAGTGGCTCTCGCAGAGGCACTCCAGCCCTATTCCAATCTCTCAAAAATCAAACGGAGGCAGAGAGAACAAGCTTTCTTCCCAAGGCCACACAGCACAGGCAAGACAGAGCACACCATCACCTATCCCACACAGGACAGAGGCTCCCCAGGATGAAGAGCTGCTCCCAGTTGCTGGACCCACCTCCAGCCCCACTCACCCTCCTTGTCTTGGATTTTAGCTTTGACATTCTCGATGGTGTCACTGGGCTCAACTTCAAGGGTGATTGTCTTGCCCGTGAGGGTCTTCACGAAGATCTGCATCTCTGCGTCTGTTGGGGGCGGGGGGGGGGGGGGGTTGCAGGATGATGAGAGCCGCATCCCTGAGTGGCACAAGCTCAGGTGCTGGCCAGACCTAGGACCCCAGTGCTAGCTCTAGGCCTGCACTGACCCCAACTGCAGGCCCTCCCCAGTGCCACCCTTCCTTCCACCCCACCAAGCTCTGGGCTAGTCTCACACACCCAAATGCTACAGCTAAACATGCGGAGTAACTAAGGACTACACTTCCTCCACCCTGCTCCTAGGGTGTGTTCTTTGCGAAAACAAGGACTACAGTTAGGCCCCTTGTCCTCAATGGTAGCTGAAGGAGTTAAGTGCTCCAGGGCACCCTCTTGCCAGGTTCATCTACCCTGAACCCACTCTCATACGCCTCAGCAAGCCCCTAGTACACCGTGGGCTGTCACTGCTGTCAGCCTAGGTGGGAACACCATCTCACTCAACACCCACCCTACAACACAGTCTCCCCACACCCCCAGCTCCAAGCTGGAGCACCCAACATGCTTAGCTCCCTACTTGGTAATGCCAAAACTTTCCAGACACCAAAAATAGAGACGAAGATTTCGCTGTTTCCCAGGCTGACCTTTCACTCCTGGACTCAAGCTATTCTCCTGTCTCTACCTCCCAAAGTGCGGGGATTACAGGCTGATCCATCGCGCCCGGCCCCCTTCCCGCCTTTGCTCCAACCCACGAACAATAATTACTTAGTATCTGCCAACCACACGCCGGGCACTTGTTTACATGTAACACTTCACTTAAAGACTAAGAAAGACCTAGAAAATGGACGATCCCGCCCACCCCTCCTTCCAGATGTAAAAAATCAGACCGATACTATGACCCAGCCCGAGGAATTCACTCTTTCTGAAGGGACGGGCCAGTTCATGCTCCAGGCCTAATGCCCATCTGCCGGTAACTAGGGTCGGCCCTGGAGGACCCACTCCCGCCCCGAGGCCTCGTGAGCTCCTCAGACCGGGCGGGCCCCCCCAAGCCGCGTTCGCCTCCTGGACCCCGGCTGGGCTCGGAGCCTCGGCCTCACGCGGCCCGCCCCGCCATCCCGCCGAGCCTGGACTCATGATCGCCCCAGCCGCCGCCCAGGAAACCACCCGCCCTGGGCCCGAAGCGAACCCGCACAGCCGCCGCCACCGACCAGCCCAGCCGCCTCGTTGAACAGAAAGAGGGCGGCGGAACCGGAAACCGGCGATTGGCGCCGAAAGCGCCTGCGCACGGAGCACGCCGCGCGCGGCGTCACAATCCACGCCGCGCGTCGGCCCCCGCCCTCCCGCCATCTTGGGTGCGGGCGAACGGAGCCGCGACGCCTGTCGGCGAGCGAGACCCTCTCGCTCTCCGGGTCACGTGAGGAACCTCTAGTGCTTCTCCAGGTGTTTTGGGCCAGCGGTTTGCGGGTCACTGGCAGCTGCTTCGCTGAGCCAGCACTCGGAGATCCTTGGACAGAGTACAGGATGTTTTCTGCCCAAGCGATGGCATTTGGCAGAGAGCCTGCGGGTCCAGGACGCAGGGGTCGGGACGGGGAAGGGAGGAGACCCCTGGGAGCCGAGTAGCATCCTAGTCGGTTAATTAGAAAGTCCCGTGGCTGCAGGGCTTCGAGACCAGCGTGGGCAACTTGGCGAGACCTCGGTTCTACAGTTTATTTATTTATTTATTTTTGAGTTGGAG